TACTACTACTACTACTACTACTACTACTACTACTACTACTACTACTACTACTACTACTACTACTACTACTACTACTACTACTATTTAAACGCAGTTTAACTGGCCTTTTGCTCCGTTTGAAGCCTTTATTTTTTGCTGCGCAATGAAAGGGGATGAACTTTAGAATTCTCGACTAAATTCCCTAAACTTCTCGCCGAGAAGGAAAAGTTGTCATGTTTTTGCTTCAAGAAAATTGTAATGACAAACTTTTTTCTTCTTCTCCCACCATGTCAAGAAAGTGTGGTTAGAACAGCCAACGACGAGGCAAAACGAAAGCATCGCTCGAGAAATTACGCTTTCGAATAAAACAGTGCTATATATTTTCACTCCTCCAACATAGCGGCCATAAAATTTCTCTGACGTCAAAGTCACGTGACCGCACACACTCTATTGATTTCACACATACAATTCAATCACGAGATTAAATTTTAGGACTCGCAAAGGCTATCGGGAAAATGTATGTTAATCGCGCGTCTTTGTTTGAAAACTTTTAGAGTACATAGTGCAGAGGGAGTGCAGCGTGGTCGTTAGAGATGTTTATCAGGCTACACAGATTTTGCCGCAGAAAACATAGTCGCATTAGACTTCTTTTCTTAATAGGAATCTTTAGTTTACTATCTTTTGCCTTAGTTTTCCGAAAACTTTCGACTACAGATAACGTTGCCACAGTTGAAGAAGGCAGTGCAAGACATGTACAGGACGCCAAAATCATATTAACCAAAGAGAAAGATGGCAATAAGAGTATTGCTTGCAAAGTTCCCGTCCTGGATCCATTTCATCCCAGCGTGGTTCAGTTTATGAAAGATGTTGGCAAACTTCGTTGCGAAGGAGTGAGCTTTTCGAGTTTTGACAACAATCTCCTTCGAGTTCAAGGTCAAGGCATCATTTCAGCGCAGTACAGAAAGATTTTCAGAACTTCTGGAGATGACTTCGGCGTTGTTTTGTCGGACCCCTTACAAATTCAAAACGAAATAAGCGAAAAGAAAGGTAAGGTACATTTAATTTGGTTATATCAACTAAGTTGAAATTCAGTGTAAATTGGCTACCGTAAACAGTTCAAAACTTGATGCTTCGATTGTTAACCGCTCGCCTGACGAAGGTATATCGGCAAAGTATTACGTTTTCCATATTCTCGTGACTTTACCAAAGTAAAAAAAGACAGATAAAAGGCTATTTGTAAATGCATTGCAAAATTTATGAGAGCGCGACGAAAATTAGCGTGCACAACTTGTAATAAAATTTCCAATTGCCTACTACTCGAGGTTTGTGCCCTCAATCTGTTTGGCACCTGCAATTTGCCGAAGGTAACGATGCTAATGTAACGGAGTTTCAAGATCCTTTGAAATTCCATCATTTCCCTCAAAATCTAGTTCAACAACTAACAAATGGTCTATGAAGATGATAAATAGACATTATCATCACTAATAAGTACACATCATCACTACGCGTCTTAAGCTCTTATTTTGACACATGTTTATGCCAGAAACCACGAAGGGAAACTTATCCTCTAGCAAGCTATGATCAGATAAAAACGCTAAGAGTATGAGGGAGGAAAGATTCAAATATGCTCATTTTCTTCTGAAATCAATTTGTTGTGCTTGTAAAATTATCATACAGGGAATTTATTTACCGCTGAGGGAATGTTAAGAGATGTCTTAGAGAATGATATCTACGGCCAGCAATACAGCTAAGTCTCATTTAAGCGTTAGAGCCTAAAATTTCTTGCTGAAATTTGCAGCGTGCGTTTGTTCCTTCGCATCGTATGCTTTTTGAAGATACATTTTAGGTTTCTCGGATCTCATGTCTGTAAAACGCTTCGTGTCATCAGAAAAATTTACATATTTCACATCTCAGTGAACCTTAATAAAAGAAACAAACGTTAATTGTATACGTATTTTATTCACTACGCGCGATACCGCTTGGATACCGCTCGAGGCCGTAGGCCGAGGTCGGTACTAAAGACAGAGGGAAAAGTTTTTCCCAATACGGATCTACCTAGGCTGGTGAATAAAATGCATATATAATTAACGTATGTTTCTAATACTTAACGAAATGCTTGCCAAAAAAACCCAAATGATTTAGGGCTACAAGTATGAGTTTGATTACGAGAAGATCCTCCATAAACTGAACGATGTTTTTCGCGAGTAGATGATAAAGGGGAACCTAAGGAACCTAAATCTGAAACACTGCTACGCTTAGCCGAACTAGTGCTCACACTCAATTGTTTTTCATTCGGAAACAACTTCTTCAAACAAACCAATGGTGTAGCCATAGGCACCAAAATGGGACCTAGCTATGCCAATCTTTTTGTAGGTTTTGTCGAACATCAATTTTTCAGCCAATACAACGGGTCCAAACCTGAACTCTACGGTCGCTACATCGACGACTGTATCGGCGCTACCTCCTCTACCAGAGAGGAGCTCACTAAATTCATAACCGCAGTCAATTCTTTTCACCCGCTTTTGGTCAGAAGTTCTTTTCAGACTAATGACCAACCAGGCACTTTTAAATGCGCTCGTGCACGATGCAAAACGTGTCCTTTCATTCACAACACTGATAAAATATCGGGACCTAAACGATCCATTAAGATCACCGATCACTTCACGTGCACCTCCGCCAATGTAATCTATTGCATAACTTGCACTTATTGCAAAAAGATATACATCGGCGAAACAGGCAGAAGACTAGGTGACCGATTCCGAGAACACCTTCGAGACGTGGAAAGGAATGACAAGGACACATCGAAACCAGTCGCTAGACATTTTAATTTACCTAATCATTCTAAGCAACATATGGCAATCTGCGGTCTTTCCTTGCACTTAGGTGGCACGGAAAGCCGTAAAAATCTTGAACAAAAGCTCATCTTTCAAACCGGCAGTCTAAATCCCACAGGGATCAACGAACGCTTTTCATTCCACTAATTTATTCATGTTTTTCTCGTTGCCATGCTCCCACCAATAACGTAGCTCCATTTTCTGCCTTTAAAAGCACACACAACCCACAATTCCTCTATTCACTCCGACAAAGGGCTAACGCTCGAAACGTCAGCTTTTGTAATCATTACGGTGGCTAATTTACCATTTCAACTTTGTTGATATATCCAAATTATTTCGTTACTCCCACCGACGCAGCCCCAAACAGTTTCTTTCGAAACTATCAGCCTTTATTCAGATGATAAAGGGGACAGAGGTTATTTAATTAAAGAAGGCTTCACCGAAACATTTTTATTTACGCACATGTCACGATGTGACACTTGTCAATTGGAGAAGAAAAAAACGCATGTACACTTTTGGGACCCACTTTTAAATAAACAAGAAACAGTACTGGTATGGCAAACATACACGATTTAAATGACCACAGCGACGATCATCTCTTGAAAATACAACCAGAGACCTAGGAAAGTATTGTACATTTCCAACGACGCTTAATGTTCGAGTATTTACCTCGGTTCTTTTTTATGTTATCACAAAGTCAAAATTTAAGTGGCTTCAAATGTGTGTTTTGAAGTTATGAGAGTTTGCACACTGTTTTGTAATATTCTAAAGGGTCCCAAACTGAAATGTTGTTCTGACATGACTAGAGGTACATCATGATATACGTGCAACACAGAGACAGACACACTCGTTGTTTCTACTTGTTATATTTTTTATGGGTTGACTTTTTTAAGTAACCTGTAATGAGAATGACTGAGTCATGCGTTTTTTGACAGTTATTACCACAAGCATGATAACAAGTGTATACCTCGTGCAAAGCAATAACAAATTAGTGCCATTGCAGAGCGTAACTCAATGTTAAACAATGTCTTGGTCATTAAATATTTGTTTGCTTTGCTTAAGATTCTTCAATCCAGACTATACTGTCAGTAAAAGGTGCTGTAAAGTGATGTAATTATACATGTCTTTATTCAATTTATGAACATCATGAAAGCTGGTGTGCATAACCATAACATCTAATATGCAGTTTTCTGGTAATTCCCTTTAACTGCAAGCTTTTCTAGCTGGAGTAGATCACGGTACTTCCCATGGAGGCTACCACGGTCTCTTTGTCAGCTTTAGTCAGTTTGTGCAGTGTTTCTAATTTCTGAACAAATTTTTATTTGGAAGCACCCCAAAAGTTTAGTAAATAGATGACAGAAATAAAAATAATAATTCCAGCCATAATCCAAGAGTTAGAAATTATAGGCTTCTCCCGCAACAGAAGAAGGGATAATTACTTAGATTGCCTTTACAATTTTTCGCATAATTTCCTGATCATACCGAAACGATCATGATTTAAGCAGCAGAAATGGAATTTGTGCTTGCCAGGTATTAGCCTGAAAGAAATAGGAATAGTCAAATCCCTAATGACATGAGAAACTCTCCCGGTGTTGCCTCATTGTACTTGAAATCCCAACACTTAATGTTTTAGTAACTCTAATGAATCCAACACCTACTGCAAAATTTTCCTAGTTGTTATTGACACTTTTCTTTATTTCTTAAATACAACTGTACATTAGGACCGCAGATACCGAATTCAGGAGGTCAGTTCTTGTCTTCCTACGTCTTGGACTGGCTAGAATATCCACGTCCTTATTGATATGGTGTTCTATCGTACTTGCTTGAGATCCTCAGTACACAAACTCCTCGATAAATTGCCAAAAAAAAAAAAAATCGTCATTCTTGTATCGTTCGAGACATCACAGCGATGGCCCTTATCTAATTCCTCACGGTGATATCTGGTGTTATTTAATTGCAGCATTTTTTAGTCCACGACGAGTCAACATTGAGCGCCTTGTCACTAGCCGCAGTCCTTTGTTCAGCTCAGTTTACGCGTTTGGATATCCCTAAAGGAAATACCGAAAACGCTTGCGTTTCGGCGCGGGGATACCCAAAACGCAGGAATACTGAAAACGAGGGGACAACATGCCACCAAGAGTGATCTCAGTTTTCGTTCATTTATGGGACAGGGTCACGTCTGACAACACGCTGAACTTTCAGCACCACATCACTGATAACCGCAAGTCCTGTTTTTCACTCATACTGTATCTACCGAACTGCCAAGATATTAGTTCACGCCTGTACTGTTTGGTTTTCCTCGCTGCCTTAGGGCCTGATTACATGAGCCGAGCTGGCCCGGTTAGCCGGGCTGATTTCTTTTGTTTTCACGCTTTGGTGAACGCCAAAACAAAAGAAATCAGCCCGGCTAACCGGGCCAGCCCGGCTCATGTAATCAGGCCCTTACTCACAAACTAGACACAGCTTGACGCCTAATTAAAAGGTGGTCGCAAATTTGATTATATTGCACCATTACTTAAAGAGCTTCATTGGCTCCCAGTTGAACATCGTATTGATTTTGACTTGCTCTAATCACTTTTAAGGGATCTACACAACTTTGCTTCTTATGTTACAGTTTCTTTTCAAGCTAAAATTGAATCTCGATTACCGAGTTGATACATGCTCATGCGATGGACACCAAATCAATAGAGGATCTTTATTTATTTATCCCTTTTCCTATCCCACGGGACGTTCTTACATCGAAGCGCTCGATCAGGAAATTACCGAAATAATGTGCGATCAAAGCTTAAAGAATAATCTCAATTTGAAAGCGAGCACGTGGCAATTAAAAGACCGGGCTAAACAAAGGTAAAAACTAGCGATAAGTTTCGCTTTGAATTACAACTACGTGACAGAATCACAAAATAAGTTGTTGCTTGCTAATATTCGTAGATCTTGACCACTTTATCGAGAATTATGGTCTAAACTCGTTTTCTACTCCAAAAAATGATCTTGATACACGGGGTCTTATCCTGAACTGAAACGTTAAATATAATTTTCTATCTAGACACTACTAATCACGGAAGCGTCAATCTATCCAGGAAATATTTCGCAGCCTCTTACGGAAGCGGGAACAATCAGCTTTGATGGGAGCAGTTACACCGTGTCATGATCTGCTTAACAACTTTGCCCCCAGTGGGCGATTGAGCTCATCAACTAACTTTAATCTACAAGTTCCTCCATCAAACTTGAAATGTTATGGAGACCGCACCTTTTCTGAAAGTGCACCCAAGTTATGGAGCAGTCTCCTAACTAATATTTAACGTAGCTGTAGTGTCAGTTCATTTAAGTCGTCTCTAAAACATTATTATCTCTTTAAACGACACTTTTCATCATAGGTGAGCATTAGTTTTCTCAATTTTATTCTTTCCCTGTATTGCTAAGTGCTTTGGAACTTTTGTATAAAGCGCTGTAGAAATGACTACACTATTATTATTGTTATTATCATTATTATTAGGATAAAATAGGTATAAAAACGACATTGGACGTCAGTTAACACTCACAGTATAACTGATCTAAGACGATCTCAAATAAATTCTTGAAATACGAAAACTCGTATAGATAGACATGTTTGAGTAAGTCTGACTCACAATAACAATTGGCAGCACTGTCACTCTATAATTTAACAAGTCACTAAAGCATCTTTGAAAGAATGTTTTTCCTTATGTTGCAGGTGTTTTTAATGGAAGTGCAGCAGTTGATCACGATTTTATCCGAGTCGATGTCGTCTTGTCTTCGGGAGAGACGAAAAGTGACGTACACATGCACGTGTTTCCTAAAAAGGAAGTTCTCGAGCGGAAGCGGCAGCCTAGTGGTCTCCCATTAAGTGTTGCAATGATTATGTTTGATTCCACCTCGACTGCCAATTTTCGACGAAAATTGCCAAACAGCTGGGAACACTTGACTAAGAAATTAAACTCCATTTTGATGCAAGGTGATTTTAAAATCCAAATCTAAGAAAAGTCTATTGCGTTGCGCCAATATTTTCTCAGTAGATGTGAAGCAATAGTGACCAGTTTGGCTCGGGGGCTTTTGTCGAAGCTCAAAGAACAAAGTTCTGGCTAGTGCCTAGTGGGTATACGGTCAATTCGCCACCATAGCAAACTCGTCACCAAAACCTCGCCACCACTCGAAGTCAATTCGCCACCAGTCGCGAATTGACATTTTGGTAACGTGTACCTTCTCGTGTGAAACTTACATCAAATGAAAGCTAAGAGTGCATTGCGAAAAGGGAAAGGGAAGTTAGTGTAGCGTCTCAGTGATGGAACGTTCAACGAAATAAAACATGTTGATGTCACGAAGATTATGAACAGTTTGCGAACAGCGAAACCAGAGTGTTATTCACCGAGTTATTTTTAATAAGTGATTTCCGTGTCGTATGTAAAGCTTAAATAGCCGAAACACTGAAAATTTCTACGAATGAAGAAAAATCGCCAAAGTCTTTTCAAGTAAACTTCGCTATATTTGTACGCGCTTTTAATTTCACAATCTACTTCGACTTCTTAAAATTTTTATGATGAAAGTTTCATACGATTTCACTCATATCGGCGGAAATCACTTGGCGAAAATCACTCGGCGAATAACACTCTGGTTTCGCTGTTCGCAAACTAATCTTCGTGATCTCATCATGTTTTCTTTCGTTTAACGTTCCATTGTTGAGACACTACATCTAACTTCTGAGTCCCTTTCCTTTTTCGCGATGTACTACTACATCTTAGCTATCATTTGACGTAAGTTTCACACGAAAGGCTACATGGTACCAAAAAGTCAATTCGCCAACCGTGGCGAATTGACTTCAAGAGGTGGCGAGTAAGCTGTGGTGGCGAATTGATCAGGTACCGCCTATTGCATTAACAGAAATATGATTGTAAATGCTCAATCCAAGTGCTTGATAGATATCGCAGTGCAGGAATGTATTAAATGCAATGAATATATGAAGTTCATATATTTTGAACTGCGGTATTAAATACGTATGATGCACGATCCTTCGCAGTAGATAGCGCTATTTATGCAATAGCGAAAATCAGACCTGAAAAAAATCAGGCCTGTGCGGGATTCGAACCACTGACCTCTGCGATACTAGTGCAGCGCTCTAGGGCCTGCTCCCAGTTGGCTTGTTAGCTCAATTGGTAGGGCGCTGCACTAGTATCGCAGAGGTCAGTGGTTCGAATCCCGCACAGGCCTGATTTTTTTCAGGTCTGATTTTCGCTATTGCATAAATAGCGCTATCTACTGCGAAGGATCGTGCATCATACGGAATGTATTAAACTGGAAAGTTACTTCTTTGCATAATTATTGCTTTGCTGAATGACCTAAGTCCCATCTACCATAGATTTTCGATCTTAAATATATAAAAAAATAAAATAAAGGCAATAACGATAATAATGATAATAATGATAATAATAAACAATTACTACAAAAATATGCTATTCGGGACCAGAGATTACCAGGAGCTGCGAGAAATGGGGAGCAGCTCCATAAGTGTAGGCTAGAAGGTGCAGCCAGCTCCTAATATTCGCTCTTTCCCCGACATACTTCAAGCGTGGGACAAATCTCATTTGGTTTCTTTTTCATCGACAGGAAGGACAATCGTTGGGGATGGAACCACTTCCCAGCTGGTTGCGATGTTTACTGGTTTACCGGAGAGAGTGCAACAGGAAGCTCGAAAAAGAATAAGTTCATCAACAACTGTCGATAACTGGCGGTGGGTTTTTAAGAACTTTACAGATAAAGGTTATGCCACTTGTTTTTCAGAAGATACGCCACATTCTGCAGCTTTCAATTATCGCTTGAAGGGTTTCCGAGATCCTCCTACAGACCATTTCAGCCGACCATTCTGGTTGGAGGCGGAAAAATTTTGGAGGAAGCATTGTATCAACAGCAGAGCATCTCATAATGTGTCTTTTGAATATTTGTTGAGCTTCTTTCGCAGATACAAGAATCGACCAAAGTTTGTGTTCTCGTCGCACGGTGCAATTTCTCATCAAGACATAAACACGATTGGCTACGTAGATGAAGATCTGAAAACATTTTTGGAAAGGTTTGAGGAAGAGTCTTTCCTTAATAGCACTATGCTGATTATTTTCGGAGACCATGGTGCGCGGTTCTCAAATTTACGGAAAACGCTTCAAGGTAAACTGGAAGAGAGACTTCCATTTACGTCGATTACTTTACCAAAATGGTTTCATGAAAAGTACCCAGACCTCTACAATAATCTCGTTCACAATTCCCGCGCTCTTTCGTCACCCTTCGATGTATATGCAACGTTACGTCATATTCTGTCATACCCCCAGTATCCAAGCGGGATTGCCACGGGCCAGAGCCTTTTTCACCGAATTGAAAAGGCAAATCGTACATGTTCAAGTGCAGGTGTGGCAGATCATTATTGCCCTTGCCTTGACCTAGAAGCTGCGTCAGTTGATGAGCAGGTGGTCAAAGAGATAGCGGCTTCCGTGGTTAACTATATAAATAACAAGACGTCGCAAACCGATGAATTATTGAAACTGTGCCAGCGTTTAGAGTTAAAGGAGATCAAAAGCGCTTTCCGGGAGATGCCGAAGGACGCCATGCAAAGATTTAAAGACTCAAAGCACGCCAGAGATGACAGGTGTGACAGCTGCGAAGCGGTGTTCGGCCAAAAGGCTGAGAACACTCTTGCCAAGGACACTTTATATCAGATACAATTAGTTACATTTCCAAACAAAGGATTTTATGAAGTCTCTGTCAGATTGAAGAAAGGAGTTCCTTCAATTACAGCAGAAATAAGTCGAATTGACGCTTATAAAGACCAAGCGAACTGCATCGCGCGCACCTACCCCTTACATCGTAAGTATTGTTATTGTTCGACCACCTCGTCTTCCTAAGGGAAAGAAGAAATGTTTCTTAATTTTGAGGTACTTGACTACCTGTAAAAACTGCAACCTTCAATCAAAGATATCACAGAATAGTCCTTTTTACAGTTCTGGGCTTGGCGGCCAAGCAGTTGAACAGAAGTGAGGCTTAGGGTGACCTTGTTATGATAGAGATATTGCTGTTTTTAAATGCAAATTACTTTGTTATCATGCTAACTAGATACAGGTCTCTATCACAACAAGGTCACCCTTAGCCTCACTCCTGTTCAAAGGCTTGGCCACCAAGCCTACAACTGTTAAAGGGACTATTGGAGAAATTTCCTCTACAATAATGATCGCGTATTAAAACATTTGATTATCTATCTAACAGAATTCAAATTCACTCCCACCTATGGGGATATAGTGTTAGCCCTCGTAATTACGAATGTGCCGGTCCGTGTTCGCATGAGGTGTTCAAGCCAAAAGAATCGTATTCAAGCCAAAAGAATCGTATATGTTGACAGACCATGGCACGGCGTCGTCTAAATTTCATACCTCTAAACAAGCTATCCACTAACTTAAAAAAAAAAAAACATTGTAGGAATATCGCTATAGAGACTTCGACGGTCTTCGGGAGCTCTTGAAACCTTGAATTCATTACATCTCATTCGACAGCGCCAACATCAACTAGACTGTACTTGCAGGAAGGTTCATTAATAAGCGTGGCCTCGGAGCGTGTTAGAACCTCCTCCAAATGATAAAAAGGAGATTTACGCATTCGTATTATTGAAATCAAGAAGGGCGCCATTGACCTTGTCCTGCATTGCTTGCATACTCAAACGAAAAAAGACAAAGTAGCAGCACGGTAATTAAGAACCGATTTTTCGTCTTTTAGATCTCAATAGTTTTTCGGTTTCTGTGTTTGGGTCTCCTGGCTTGTCAAGACGTGGCAAATCAAAGTAAGCTATCCTAACTTTCTAGAAATAGGGTTGAAACTTAATGATATTACCAAAAGACAGACAGCTAAGCGGTTCGGCTGATTTTAGCTAAATTTCATTACAATGCAGCGTATATTCTCTAAACTTGGCTGCTCAACTCCTTATTCAAAGCGTTATATTTTCATCCCAACTTGTTTTTCTATGGAATTCGACAGAGTAGTCACAATTATGAAAATTGATGCGCACTGCTTACGTGTGCCTAGCGCAAAATGGCGCTAGGCACACGTTGGGATGTTAATATAACGCTTTGAATGAGTTGAGCAGCCAAGTTCAGAGAATATGGCGCGTAGAATATAGCCCAATTGGTTAGAGCGCCGGATTGTGTTGTGCGGGAGGTTGAGGGTTAGAGCCCAGGCTGGACCAATACTCATGGTCTTAAAATATCTTAGGAGAATTTGCTAACTTTCTATAATATCAAGAAATGGATAGATCTTCTAGTCTTCTCGGATAAGGACGAATAAACCGGAGGCCCCGTCTCCTGCAGGGTTAGGGGTATGAGACGTTAATTTCCCACGCACGAGATTACTGTGTGGTGTATAACTTCCCCTGGGGTGGGATGGGTGGGAGAATGGCCCTGAAAAGCCTTATGCGGAGTGGTCAATTAACTTATGTATCTATGTCAAAATGAAAGTAATGTATATAAGCGTTATTTATCATGCGTGAGGTAAAAATGGCTGGGGCATTGACCGAGTTCTTTACGTTTTAATTTTTCCGATTTTCCTTTGGCAAATTGATTATATTTTAGGGGTTACAGTATTGGGCATAAAAAACTGAAATGGAGACTAAACAAACACAAAATCTAAAAATAAAAAAAAAGGCAAGGAAAATACAAATTAGTGCGTGTTGTTGTACCTTAGGGATCTATTAACTCACATACTGTAGCGCTGACCGCGTGTCGATTAGAAGAAGTGACGAAGAATAGAGTACAAAAGGTCGATCCCAGAGGTGAAATATGAGCACGTATGATTGGAAGGCTATTCTGTATCAGTAACTTAGAATAGACTGGCTTACACACCGAAAAAAACCGGTTTCATCAACTGAGTTGATAATGTAAATTGGCCGCCGTAAAGAGTTTCAAAGCTGACTTTTCGTGCGTTAGCCCTCGTCAGAGCGAAGCGATTAAATTCGTTTCAATTCAATGAAGAAAACTTCCTCCGTATGATGCACGATCCTCGCAGTAGATAGCGCTATTTAAGCAATAGCGAAAATCAGACCTGAAAAAAATCAGGCCTGTACGGGACTCGAACCACTGACCTCTGCGATACTAGTGCAGCGCTCTTACCAATTGAGCTAACAAGCCAACTGAGAGCAGGCCGTTAAGTTGATTCGTAATGAACCCGTGAAAGTGATAAATGAGATAGAATAAATATATGAAAATCATATATTTTGAACTGCGGTATTTGATACGTATGATGCACGATCCTCGCAGTAGATAGCGCTATTTAAGCAATAGCGAAAATCAGACCTGAAAAAAATCAGGCCTGTACGGGACTCGAACCACTGACCTCTGCGATACTAGTGCAGCGCTCTTACCAATTGAGCTAACAAGCCAACTGAGAGCAGGCCGTTAAGTTGATTCGTAATGAACCCGTGAAAGTGATAAATGAGATAGAATAAATATATGAAAATCATATATTTTGAACTGCGGTATTTGATACGTATGATGCACGATCCTCGCAGTAGATAGCGCTATTTAAGCAATAGCGAAAATCAGACCTGAAAAAAATCAGGCCTGTACGNTTGGCATATGTTTAACACCTGTCGGCAATATGTTTTCGAAGTGTATGAACTTTACTACGAAAGTTTTCTTCAATTAAAAACAAATGACGGGAACTAAATATGACACCAGCGAATAATTATGTATCCAAAGAGAGATTCTTATTCCACAGGAAAATGTAAAAGGAAAGTAAGCAGTTTTTTAATTAAAAAAATTCCTTTCCAACGACTTAATACATCAATTTTTATTTCCCTGAGTGCGAGGCTATCTATGGGCTCTTTCTTGACTTCGTTCAAACACCACACATATAAACGACATTTGCGAAAATATGTTCATTAGACTTTAGTGGATCTTGATATGAGTGTCGAGACTATAAGCTGTGAAAAAGATGACCAATTAAGTAATTGCGGATATTATTCAGTCATACCTAAAGACTTTGCAAACACACGGTCGCATACTGTTAAAAAAAGAATCTCGAATATTCTTGAATGAACAAAAGATAACACATTAAAATGGACGATGACTTTCAGTGGCCACTTTGAGATAGAATAAATATATGAAAATCATATATTTTGAACTGCGGTATTTGATACGTATGATGCACGATCCTCGCAGTACAGGCCTGATTTTTTTCAGGTCTGATTTTCGCTATTGCTTAAATAGCGCTATCTACTGCGAGGATCGTGCATTATACGTATCAAATACCGCAGTTCAAAATATATGATTTTCATATATTTATTCTATCTCAAAACTTCCTCCATACACACGGAACCGCTATTGGTACGAATATGGTACATAAAATCAAACAACGCGTCATAGCAAGAGGGTGCCCAGAAAACAGCATAGAAAGGTCTCTGTCAGGGGTCAAATTTGGCTCAAGACAAACGGCAGTTACACTTGAACAAAAGCCAAAAGGTCACCAACATTTGTTGCCTTTTGCCTTACGTATCGGCAACACAAAGAAGGAGCTCTCAACGTTCTGTTTGTCCGGAGACAATTGATATATTCTGCCGACACTAGTCTTCAAATGCATGCCGCTGCAAAAAGTTTTTAGTTGTGATGGTGTTGTTGATTTCTTCAAAAGTAACTGACGCCGGAAGGATTGCTGCATTACATCCACCCTTCCCATGAAAGTTGATTGCAGTCTCTATCAATTTTGCCTTTGATTTTGAGAAATATCACTAATCGAGTTCTGATGTACTACAACATTCCTTCGTGTAGATGTCCACTTGTATGTATGAAAAGGAAGACTATTTGACCTGGCTATGGTTTGTGGCTGTACCTTGGTAATCCTGCACGTTCCTTACAACAGCTACAACAAGTAGCATCATAAATATTTTTCTTCTTCCTTACTAATTCCTCTCAACCTTCGCTGTTTCGAGGTTGATGAACTTTATTGATAACAAAGCAAGCTTAAGCAAAACTGTGACCACTCTAGTCCTACAACCTAAAATACGATCAATTTTGTGAGAAATATTAAAGTATTATCGTTGTTACTATTATCATGTATATTTACAATACATAACTGAAAACAGAAACGCAGATCCATACGCTCTAAACCAAGCATTTGAGAAATTACAGCAAGTTATCTCTCCGACAGCAGTGAGTAAAATACCACTCTCTTTCTTTGAAAAAAATCTGGCATACTTGTTACAATTTGGTAATAGTGGTTTTCAATGAGAACAAATTCCTCCAGAACTGTCTTCATACCATTCCCTTAATTGATTGGTAGTGGTTCAGACAATGCTAAATTTTGAAAGCTTTGACTTGATATACAACAAAGGGAAATGATGAGAATGAAGTATTTTAAACTAATTAACAGTTGAACAATTTTTTTCAGGAAAAAACCATGTTAGAAGCACTTAAAGGGACAAGGAGGCTTAAAAATAATTATTTTTGTGTCATATTAGTTCATCTTGTGTAACCCCAAAAATACAACTTTTGCGAAAAGCAAAAAGGAAAAACAAGAGTTTTCCTCTGGATCACCAGCAATAAATAGTGTCATAACATTTTACTTTGCTGTTGTTAACAGCACACAAACGTGATCTGTTGTTACTCTCTTGCCATGAATTTCTTGTTGAGTTTCCTCTGAATGGCCAGCTGCCATGACAACTACTAGTTGAAGTCACGTCTTTACACCACAGTCACTGTTGAAATGGAGAAAACAGAATATAAGAACAATAAATACTATGCAACCAAGAGGGATTTCTTAGCATACTTTTTACCAGGTCAAAATGTACACAGGTCTTAAAGAAAGTTACAGTTTGTAATGAAAATGCCAGAGAGTCTTATAAATACTGGGACCAATTTCCTTGTCATTCCTCTCTAGAACATATCTTTATGCATTTATTGAGAAGACATGATAATGGAACATTTGATACAGACTATTGAGGACTGCGAACTCGTGAAAAGAACCATTCAGAAGAAATGGGACCTAGATCTATTACTTGAGGAAGCAAGCCGAAGAGAAGACATCAATCAGCGAGTCAAAGACATGAAAGAAGACT